AGACGGGATCTCTCTGGCCTGCAGATCATCCACTAGGCTAAGTTGGTTGGTCAGTGAGTCCCAAGGACCCTTCCGTCTTTGCTTCTCAGCTGAAGGGATTGTAAGTGTGCGCCACTCCACCCAACATTCTCTCCTTGGTTCTGAGGATCACACTCAGTCTCTCATGCCTACACAGCTGAGCCATCTATAGAGTATTTGTTGTTGTTTTAGTAAGAATGTGGTCTCACACGATTTGTTAAATAAAAACTACAGGCATCATTTTATACTAAGTACCTAAACTGTGCCCAACAAGTGGGGCAAGAGTCACTCAAGCTAAGTTCCACATCCTCAAGCTGGAAGGCCAAGCTCTATACTTGAACCAGGGACGGTGGTGTGTGCCTTAGTCCCTTCCTGTGATGGGGCAGCTGAGACAGGAAGCTAGCTTTTGCCTGGGCACCATGGTGAGAGCTCACCTCCAAACCCGAGTCTTATTTGACTTATTTACCCTTCTGAGAGAAGAGGTAACATCTAGAAAATTGGTAGCTTCCTAATCACATAAGGAACCCCCTCTTGCTCTAACTGTCGCATGAGAACGGCTCAGAATCAGATGTGCAGGTCAGTTAGATGGCTCAGTGGGTAAAGCTGCCTGCCACTAAGCCTGACAACCTGAGTTCAATCCCCAGGACTCAAATGCTACTAAAATAAGGAGCCAATTGTGTGTCTTGGTTTCTTCAAGTGCTTCATTGTCTGGTCCTCAAAACTATCACCAAACAAATGACACAGCTTTTCCCCTCAGCCCCAAAGAACTACTAACTCGGTAAAGCGCTGCTATATTCTAGACCCAAAGCCAATTAAGACCCATCAACAAACATAGAATTTGCCCCGTAATATTCACAAAAGCCTGAGGTCAGAAGAACCAGTGAACAGTGTCTTCTGGACATGGCAGAACTGCTGTACTCAAGAACTCCTAACAGTTGTGGATGCTGGCACAAGATTAAGCCAGCCAACATTCCAGAATGGACTGGGGCTCCCATCACTAGCTAAGGAGTTGATAGCTGCTGGAGAGGGTAAGGCTAGGTTTTTTGGATGGTGTGTTTTCTGGTAGGTCAAATAAGCATGCAACCATCCACCCACTCACCTCGCCATACATCCACCTAGCAGCCCTCAGTCCATCCATTGACCTCCCCAGGGCTGGGATTCCCAGTGCACACCACTTTTTTGTGTAGGTGTTGGGGACTCGGGCCTCAAATTTGCCCTGATTCTCCCTAGCCTCCCCCTAGCCTCCCACATCGATCTTATTTGATTCAATAATGAATAAAGGAGTAAGATTTTTTTTCAGCCTTTAAAAGAAGTAGAAATAATGTTGATTTGCAAGGATGGATCTGTCTGTCTTTGGGGCCAGTTTGTATCCTCCAAAGCTCAGCCCCAGAAGAGACCAGAGATTTCAGGAATGAACCAGAAGCCCTGGAATGCAGAACAGGAAAGGCAGTGCACAGAGGTATTGGGAGCCATTTGCTGCTTTTCTGGAGCAGAGAGAGAGAGAGAGAGAGAGAGAGAGAGAGAGAGAG